ACTGCTGCTGTGCACTCAGCTCGGGGGTTTATCCCCAAACACTAACAGAGGTCAATAGTAGACAGTCTAAGGTTAAAGTTTTTGGGGTTTGGCGAAGAAACTATAGAGTCGGGTAGAGTATTCCAGACATTGTCATTATTTATCTCAGAACAATATTTGGAACAAAAATGGGAACAAATTTCAAAATAATCAGGAAAAGAAAAAAAATGAATTGTATGAAGCAATGAGAAACTTTTACCAATAGTTACATACAGCTCTTAGAACTGCATATACCCTCCCAATTGTCCCCAATGTTATGTTCCATTTCATGGTATCTATATTATTTAACTTATTTGTCTATTGTATCTATATACCACCAAATAGAAGTGAGTCAATGTCACCAAATGGTTTACAGTGAAATAAAATTACAATACAATCAAATGCAATTGAAATACAGTCCCTTGCTGCTCCTGAGCCAAACATCTCCTGGACTATGGAATTTGGAAAGGAAAAAAGTCAGCTACCCCCACATTGTTCACAAGACTCAGGAAAGCAAGAACAATGTAAATGTCATTAGCATCTTTTTAGGCTAGTTTAGAATAAATAGAAAATTTGGATCCCAGCATAGGAATTTCCAATTTCAGTTTTAGGCAGTTTCTTAGAAACATTTATACCCAGACCTCTCAGCACTTCATCACCCTTTTCTGAGATAGGCATTCATCTGATTCACCTCCAACTTTCTCACAATCTTCTTTGCCATCATATGGATATCATCATCCATATATCTCTGGAAAAGACCATGATGTACATTCAGTCCAGAGTGTGACATATGATCTAGGCCAGGGTTTCTTATTTGATTCAAGATGAAATGGGCTCTGTGTTATGTTTCTTCTCGTAGATTGCTCCGCTACACTAACTTTCAGGATGGTTTTGACAGAAGGCCCTTGAAAATGTGTTGTATGTTGATCAAGCTGGGGCAAGGAGAATGTTGTCAAAAGCCTTGAGTTCAGGTTGACATTTGTTATTTTTGGCTGAACTAACCTTTCTTGTTGTGGTTTTCAGCTGATGATGCCTGTGGTGGGACACTTCGGGGGCAAAGTGGAATAATTTCAACCCCCCATTACCCTTTGGAGTACAACAACAACGCTGACTGCACATGGACGATTCTAGCAGAGCCGGGAGACACTATAGCTCTGGTTTTCTTGGATTTCCAATTGGAGGACGAATATGACTTTTTAGAGGTCACTGGAACGGAGGGATCCTCTTTATGGTAAGCAACTGCTTTACTTTTTTTTAGATCAGTATGGATTATTTGTACCCTTTGGTGCCATATCTTGCAAGTGTTGGTTTGCAAGTGATCAGAATTGCCTAAATAAAGAACAATACTAATGCCTTTAAAATGTTTCATTAACATGCAATGGAAATGTCACTCTTCATCCTAGAATCAGGATTTTTTCTTTATCATGTCTGTCTGTCTGTCTGTCTGTCTCTCTCTCTCCATCCATCCATCTATCAATCCATCCATCCATCCATCTATCTTCCACAATGAAGGTATTAATTTTTTTAACTTATGTAAGAAATAAAATAAATTGTCATGTCATGTATATGAAAGTCTGTAACTTTGGGGGTTGGCATAATACATGTGACTATCATAAAATTAATTTCTATTTTTTTTTTAATGAGAGCTGTAGTGAAGCTGGAGGGATTTCCATTGCCATTGAGCAAATCAATTGTCTTGACTATTGCACAATTGCCCAGAGTTGGCATATAAATTTAATATGTTATTGTCACAGTTGTGACTGTAGCCTTTTGCCTCCATTTTGTTTTAATGGTGCTAGTTGAATAGTATGAGTTCTAACTTCATGTTAAAGAGAACTCATTGGTGGTCTTTTTCTTCTATTTCAAAATGAGGTGTATCAACAATGGAAACTTTTTAGCTTGGTAGTTCATATTGATTTGATATTGTTGGGAAGATTGTGTTATCAAAACAAAGTAATGTAAATGAATTTTTGAAGAAAAACTCACACTAGACAATTCTAATCCCTTTTCAGGGAAGTAAGATAAAAAAAAAAAGAACAGAAGTGTCTGTAGTGTCTGTTATCTTGGTTCCACAGTAGGTTCTGGTTTTCTTCACTCCATTTTGGTTTTTGTTGATTGGTTGACTATTTTTGAATGTTTATATAAGGAAGAGATGTATTTAAAAGAACCTGTCAATGGGCAAATAATTACTGAAGTTATACAATTACTAATCTTATTTTGAATGTTAAAAGTTTCCAAGCAGAGCACAAGATGCAAGAGTGATACATTTCTGAGCACAAGATATAAGAGTGATACATTTTTGAGCTTGATGTCAAAATCTTCATTATATCATTATTATTTTTAAATGTTAAAAAAGAGAAAGAAAGAAAGAAAAACACCCCTAATTAATAAAGCTAAATATTTGGTTTCTGATTTCCCCCCTGTTTGTACTCCAACCAATTTTCAGGTTACATCTGTGTAAACATTAGAAGCCATCCTCTTTGTATTTACCTTGTTGCATAGTACAGTTGGTTGCTTAATATCCCACTATTAATTCCAGTTTGTTATATAAACCATAATTGTCTGGTATCATGTTAACCCTAACCCTAACTCATAATTAAGTAAAATCCCTCACCACTCAAAATGTATTGTGGTTTAATGTAATGTGTGAATTTAGACCAAAACAAGTAAAATGAGCAGTGATAATAATTATGTGATCCTTTTAATTAATTATTTGGCCAGACCTTTCCCTCATGGTAGACTCTTCTATTTAGACTCCTGCCATTTTAGGAACTTCTAACTGAAGATGGAATGCAAGTTCACCAAAAGAAAGTTATCTATGCAGGTGGTGTGGTTAGACAATCTTTTTCTCGTTCTCCCTTTCTCTTTCTCTCTTTGTTTGCTGTGTTAGTACTCATTTTTGCTAAGAAATACTCAGAATCAAAAAGGCATAGCCATTCATGCAAGAATCTTAAAATGACCCAGGCTCCACCCGCTTAGTATAGCATAAATCAAATCTCTTTCTCTAATTACACTTTCATTGCTTTTCTGTGACAAAACATTCTCAGCAGCGAAAAACCATATTTTACATTTGGAATATAAGTGCCCTCAGATTGCCCACCCTCCAAAGGCAGAATGAAACTAATAATGTTGCTTAAATTGTAATTCTTGGTTGGTTTTTTTCTACTCTCTTGGCAATGTGTTAGTTCCACCTTGAAAATATTATCTACATTTTTCTTCCTGTGCTCAGTAGAATTTTGATGTATAGGATACTTTTGAAATTTTTTTTTGAAAGACAGTTTCAATGAAATTCCAATGGATGGGATGTAGGGAATTTCCATTTACCTAGTTACCAGCTTGCCAAGCAGTATGAATGAATTATCTCTTTTATATAGTATAAACATCACTCCAACACTTATAGCCTATCTGGATTCCCACAATTCGTTAAAACCAAGGAAAGAAGTTAGAGGCTTTCATGGAAACACATCAGTCTCCACAGTCTTAGAAAAATATATAACAATGAAGTAACCTGAATAGTATCTCCCAAAGGAAGCAACTAGAACAGCAGAAGCCTCTGTTTCAGGAGAACATGTCTAGTAGTTGTTCAGACTTCTGTTTTTCTAGTTGATTTTCAATATGCTCACTTTCTGAAAAGTTGCAAGACGGATTTTCACCCAATTTAGTTTATACGTTTGCTTTCAGTGTTGTTTGACGGTGTTCAGTATAGAACACTTTAAAGATTGTGAAAGTGATTTTGTCAAAAGCAACCAGATAAAAGCTAAACTAGATGCTTCTAAAACTAAAGACGGAACATTCAGATGTTTCTCAGAATGTTTGCATTTTCTACAAGAACTCATCAATTCAGACATAACAGAACTGATAGAACAAGAACTGATTTGTAGTTTTATGGATGCAGAAATCATAGATAGAAGAAATGGACTTTAGAAAGGTTGAAATTAAGGATTTTTTTCTAATTTGCACATTTGGACCTAAACTTATCAAATGGACTTAATATGCACAACACACTAAGGAATCAAAAATTTGGAATGATGTTTGGAATGAAGCAATTTCTTCATGATTTCAGTTTATGGATTTGTATTTGACCTGGCCAAATAATGTTATATGAACACGTTCAAGATGCCCATCTCTTTTAAATCCTGGCCTAATCATCTTCTTATGCCTATGCCTGAATATAATTTACATTGGATCTGCTAGAATGTGAAGTGACTATGCTCACGCATGCAGACAGCTGCAGACAGTTTTCAGAGCATCAACAGGAGACTTGTAAGGAACACAGCTACTATAATGCTTTGTGAAGAGGGGCTTCATTCATGCAAACATGCTTTGTGCAGTGTCTCTTTAGCAGGCTTTGTGTATATCTGCTATATTCTGTTATTACACAGAAGTCATTTTGGATTTCCAAAACCTTTATAGGCCTTCCATATCAGCAGGAGCCAGGATTGTTCAAAGACCTAGAAAACCTCTGTATTCAAGAACTCCAACCTTCTCTGCCCCAGGCTCACTTTCAAAGAGTTGGAAATGCTGAGAGTTGCAGCTTCAATGCATCTGAAATGTATCAGGTTGAGGAAGTCTGATCTAGCATGAAAGCACACAGATCCTTGGATTTTCAGTTTTAAGCATGACAGATGTTGATATGGGAATAAAGCTCACAGCGGTAGTTAAAATGTAGCTGTACAAATAATACGTTTGTATTGACAGCAGGAAGAACAGGAAACACTCTTTTCCAATCAAATTTTGTTCCCCCATTATGTCATCTGTTCGTGGCTTTCACCCATTGGAAGATAACCAACTATTAACAGGGTGAGAAAAGCTATTTTTATGCTTGACGCCATCTCAGGGAGAAGGAAGGATGCCAGCATTGTTCCAAGAAGAGATGTTGCTACTAAGTGTTAATTTAAAATATGATACATTTCTTATGGTTTTGTTGTCATCAGAATTAAAGACAAGTTTATGCTGATAATGCTATACTTGCTTGACAACATGTTAAGGGGAAAACACAGTTATTGCAATCCTATTAACTCTATTCAACTGGAAAGCTGATAGTCCAGGTTTGAGACCCTGTGCAATGGGCAATGGGGTACTGTGTAATGGGATAAACATTGTGCAGGAGTGGGTAAGCTCCCATTCCTGCCCCAGGTGCTGCCCACGTGACCATGGAAAATGTTTTCAGACAACACTGGCTCCCTTGTTCAAGAAACAGAAATAAACACTGCACCCCTAGAATCAGAACTTAACTGGACAAGAAAACCTTTACCTTTGTTAAATTGCAACATCTGCCATTGAACATGCCCCAAATTGGATAATGTTTCCAAGGCTCATGCAAAAGTCAGATGTCAAGCTATTATTATTATTATTTTTATTAAGATATGGATTTTATTAGCATACACTCATTTTAATTGACTTTCATATGAGTTGGCTCAGTTCACAAGCAATGGGAGATTTGAGCTTCACATTGTTCAGGCTTCCCTTCCCTTGATGAAGTGTCAGCTGTAGCTGTCAAGGGAAGTGGGTTTCTCCAGTCTGCTCTGTTGATCTTCTTCAAGGGCATACCCTGAACAAAAGCTAGCAGTATGTACTTTTCTTTTCTTTCTGTCTTTGGTGAATTTCTTACTACATTTTAAGACAGTAGTTTCCCAAAGTAGGTTAAATTATAATCTCCTCCACTTCTATTTAGTATCGATGTGACAAATTTTCTAAGAGATAAATTACTTTTCAATGAATACACAAATATATGCTTTTGACTTGAAACTACTGTTTGACACATTTCCCAGGGATGCACTATGAGTAAATCTTCCCAGTTATTAGATATTTCTACTCATTGTATTCAAAGGCTGTATGAAAACATACACATTCAAACCAGTTGGGTTCACAAAGTGCAGTTCTAATTTTCAAAGGGGTTGAGTGCTTGCCTCACTCCAGTTATATCTTGACTTAAATTCCTTTTTGTGTCTTGTCTTCTACTCTCTCCAACCGGTTGACAATGTATGTATCAATACTTTCAAGTACTGCTGATACAAATAGTTTTTTGTAATGTCCAAGACATTTAAAGTCAGCCTCATTAGCTGTGAAAAATACACTGCTGTGACATTTGAATAAGAATAAATACTAGGACTACCCAGGCACAACCAGAGAAATTAGAATGTTGTCCGTTAAAGCTTCTGTGAAATATCTAAACTGTTTAACAATGGCAAGATCCGCTTCACTGTGGAGTCCTTGATGCTCTTTGAGCGT